ATAGCTCCTTTTAGTAGTCTCATCAGATAATGAAAAATTAAAACATTTGACATGATACACCGGGTGAGGAGGCAAGAGGTTGAACGAGACAGTTACAAGGGCAAAACTTATGGCTTGTAAAAACTGCTGCTTTACCCAGAGAGAGGTTTCAAACGAAACATAGCCCGTTTCCGGCCCAGCGCTGGTCTTCTTCCAAGAGGCTGATATGTGGCATCTGCAGGAATAGTCTTGTCCCCATCCTGAATCGAACAACTCTTGTTAATAGCCTGTGCCTGCTCCATGACCTCCTTGGAGCAATTCAGAACCTGGTCGTCAACAAAAAATTACCAATCAGAACCTTAGGATGACAAAAACCTAAATCGATAGCCTACCAAACTTGAGAATAGTCCAAATATAAAAAGTTAGGGTCGATCCTCGGACTCGCATTGAAACACCAAAACCCTGATAGAAAGATACTAAAACCTCAAACCTGCGTACAATAACCCATAAGATTGGAGAGGGAGACCGAACGTCACCATGGAGTCAAGAATAGCTTCGATCAACTCCATAAAGGGGTTCTACATGAAGCGCGACTCCTGATGTCTGAGTGAGGAGAGAACCAAGGGAAGACGTCCGTGAAGAGCTCCTCGAACTCGCGCCCCCGATGGCCAACCGCCACGAATTACGGCGGTTTAGTGGAGTTGAGAAGCCCTCGGTAGCCAAACCGACGAAGAAGAGAGGTAGACGACCGGAGAAATGGCCATCGGAATTCGGGAGAGCGGAAGTGAATATTTCCTTCGAACTTCGTAGCATAAGATCAGTTAAATAAGTTGTCGAGTCGTATAAATGGAAACGGGCTAATTTAATATTAGCTCGGGTACTCGTTTGTACTCCTGATTTTTAATTTAAAAATTATATTAAAATTTTTATAACTATAAAAATAAACCATCTAATTTTATTCATCATATCGGTTGATTTTATTAATAAAAATATAAAAATAATAAGTAAAAATATAATTTTAATATTTTAATTATGTATATGCAAAACGACGAAATAACTACTTAGCATTTATGCTAGTGTTGACGTAATTATTGAGTGACATTAATGCAGATATATAGCATTGATATATGTGTCATCGTTTTTCTCATCTCTCATATTCGTTTTTCCTTTCAATCCATAATACTCAAAGGTCCCAACAACGCTATTATCCATCATCATCGAAAACATAGTTGAGAAGTTGAAATTATCATTTTGCTCATCATTTTCGTACTTCTACTAGTAAAACCGATGATATTAACATAAATGAAATTAGATACTTTATTTTTATAATTATAATTTTTAATATAATTTTTTAAAATATATGGATCGATATGTTAAATAAATGTAACTATAATATATAATTAGCTCAAGTTTTGATCTACAAATATGGTAACACTAAATCATTTGCTATTACTTGATTGATCGAGGACTCTATTGATCCACTAAACACTATGGCTGCCGCATGCAAAGTTTGTGTCATGAGATTTAATCCATATGTCAAAACGTTAAAGTATTCGATCGGACATAAACGTGGCGTCGAATCGGTTTAAGTATCATCCCATCATAAAAATTCTCGGAGCACAAATGAGATGACAAATGTTTTAAGGTGTGTTAAGTATAATATATTTATATATTTTATGTATATTTAGAGAAAAATATATCAAGTGCAAATAGGTTGACAAATAATATATAAAATATATTTTTTAAATGTGCATCAATATCAGTATTATTTTATAAAATTATATTTCAAAGGTCTAATGAATATTATGTAATAAATTTATCATTCTAATATTTATTACATTTATTGAAAAATAAAATATGTATTTTTTTATTTTAAATTAATAAGTAAATAAATTAAATGAACGAATGAATATAATCTTATAAAAAAATTTAATATAGTCCAGATATATAATAAAAATATAAATAAATAAAATAAATATATAATTTTATTAAAAAGAATTAAGTTATAAATCATATTGATTTCTTACTAAGTCATGTCATTATATTAAGATATATTGCACATTAAGTTGACTACTATTTGATCACGTAATTTTGCCATGTTATAAGATACACTGTAATTAGAGTTCGTATCATCCTTGTTTACCTCATTATATTTTAAGGCGTGTTTAAGAATATATTTATATTTTTAATGTATATTTATATAAAATATATATCAAGTTCAAATAGGTTGATAAACAATAGATAAAAATATATATTTTAAATGTGCATCAATATTAGTATTATTTTATAAAATTATATTTTAAAAGTTTACTGAATATTATGTGATATATTTATCATTCTAATTTTATTATGTTTATTCAAAAATAAATATATTTTTATTATTTAAATTAATAAGCAAATAAATTAAATGAATGAATGAATAAATGAATGTAATCTTATAAAAAAATTTAATATGGTCCATATATATAATAAATAAAAGATATAATCATAAAAATGAATATAATATATTTTATTTAATATGTAAATAATATTTATTTCTTACTTAAATCATGTTATTACATTAAGATATATTGCTCACTAAGTTGACAAGTATTTAATCACGTAATTTTGCCATGTTATAAGATACATTGCTATTTACCTTATTATAATCATCAATTACAATGTCAATAAATTGAGTGGAAAGCATTTGTAATGCAACATTCAAGTTAAATATAAATTTTTAAAACAAATAAAATTAATTTATATTTTAAATATATATTGAACCCTTAATGCATATTTTAAATATGTCTCTGACTATCATCTTAAAATAGTACAAATAGCACATCCACGATGGAGCATGCCACTAATTTTTCATTAAAACAATTATTAGGTTATATATATTATATACATGAGATGTTTTTATATAGATTTAAATATGATGTCAATAAAATGAGATAATACTATACAAAACAAACCAAATGCCCATATCTAAAATGCGAAACATGAAATACTTTTAGCACGATGACTCACCCATATTTATACTTCTTTGCATGGCCACGCTTGTTTCCAACTATAATTAAATCAAAATTTGTTTCCAACTATAATTAAATCAAAATTGTAAATCGGGCCAAGGAGGAAACATTTCCAATCCCAATTGGGTAAAACCAAAATTAGAATCGGACTCATTAATTTTGATTTTGATTCTTCTTCAAACTGATCAAATTATAAAAAATAAAAAAAAAACAAGAATCAAATTGATCGTTGATCGGGCAGCGCTGACCGTCAGATCGAAGGAGTGGCAAATGACTAAATTACCCTATCAATAGATAAATTTACCCTTTTCAACAACCAGGAGGAAGGTATTTGAAAATAAAAACTCAATTTTTTTTATTCTTTCTCTCACCCATTCATCAACCAATCATAATATTTTTTAAACTCCCTAATTTTAATATTATTTACAATATCATTCTCTTCAAATATGGTATATTCTGGTAACACCCCACGGCAATAGTTAGCAGCCACATCAACGCTAATGCGAAGCCTCAGGATTTATATGGTGCACTACGTCGATGCAACACCTCGGATTCGAATGGAACGATCGCTTATTCCCACGTTATCCGAGGTTGTACAAGTTAGCACCGCATAGTACAAAAGTTGCTCCGAAAAGTTTGAAACGATATCGTGTGGCGCCAATCCATGTAGGTCGATCGATGCCTGCACGGAATGTATGAGCCGGCCACCTAAGGAGTTGATGGCTATTAACAGACCATGTATAACCGATATTCGTTCACAGGTATAAAAATCAATCTTTTGACCAGCCCGAACACCACTTAATATTGACTTGAGCTTAGGAGGGATTGACTCGGAAAATCTCATTCTCAACCTTTACTTGTGTGCAAGAACTCGATGGCGAAGCAAGCAATAACCATGGAAGGAAGAAAAACCCGTTACTCTACCTTAGATCGATAAAGCCTAAACCCGACGACCACTCCAATTCGAGCATCAATATGGGTGATTATACATACTCGGGATTGAACCAAGCCGTACGGATCTAATACCCAACACCTATCATGAGCTCTTTTTCAAATTTGATAAGTGAAAACTCCACGTGCCCAATGCCCGAGGATAATTTTTCAAATCATAATATGGCTTTATTGAGCATACGCAATAAAGCCAATACTTTCAAATTTCCTTTCAATAATATATAAAATACTGATGGAAAGTAAATAAAAATGACAATTAACTTATATGATCATTATAGTACAAATTATAATAAATAACGAATTACCTTGAATCTTCTGAATTTATAGGTCCCAATAATGATCAGAGTTATAGAATTCGTAAAGGAAGAAAATTATTATTACAAATAAAAATATCGATGAGATCGTTATTTGATATTTATCTAATGATTTTGTGTGCATGTGTTTGGGTGCAACACTACAAGTATATGATTTCTATTTTTTCAATAGCTATACGTCATGCAATAATCTTTTTAATTTTAGCCATTATTACAAGATAAATATTAACAACGAGTTATTTATTTAATTCATAACAAGATAAATGTTGAGCTTCATATATACTATACCATAGCTGACTATACCAGAGTTAGAATAATATAAGCAAGAGATGATCCATGAAAATTATGAAGATTCATTTAATTTATCAATCAAATGAAGACATCCGACACTACGAGCGATTGATGATTGATTTTTTGATATATTTATTTTTGTATCATTAGATGCATAAATATATATATATATATATATATAATTATTATATCAAATAATATATATGAAGCTCATGAACTTGAACATGAGACTTATCACTTGCCGAGCCGAAATCAACCCCGCAAGTTAGATTAGCTCGATCTCTCCACACCAAGCGGCTCCAACAGCCGTCCGACCCACCCTGCCCCAAGACCCCGCGTCGCGAGCCGCTCAACGGTGAGATCACGAGAGCACGACCCTCAAAGCGAACGAGCGGTCCGGAACCCATCATCATTTAATGGAGGGCCCTGGTTCCTTCTTTTTTCCGTCGGTCAGCAGCTACTAGTGAAGGAAGCGAGGGGTAGGGTTGCAGCAGCCTCGCATACCACCACACTCGGCACCATCCTCCTCTTCTTCCCTCCCCCTAGGGTTTCCTCAGATCTTCCCGAGAATGGGGTCTTCTCTCCCGCCCAGGGAAGCTAATCTTTTCAAGGTCATCGTGGTAAGTGCCCTCTCTCGCTATCCCGCTCGATCGCCGGCAGTTCCGGTTCATCCGGTGTTTGTGTTCTTTTTCCTCATCCGACCCGTTTCTTGTATTGGATTTTTCGGAGCCGGTGCTTGCGGTGATTTCGATGATGGTCTGGTCATGTCGTTGCTGAAATCGGCGGTTCTTTACGTTTTCTTGTTCTGCACCACTCCGTCACGCATATTTTCGGAACCAGGAATTGACGGGATTAGGTTTTAGCTGATCGCTTCGAGATGGATGGGATGACGTTACATCACTCCGCGAAGTCATTGATGTTACAGAATTTGATGGAATTCTCTATTGCCTGACAAAATTTGTACCTATGTTTGGATGTTTGCTTCTCCATTTTCGTGTTTAGGACTACCTTCTGCTGATTATTTCAGAATTAGGTAGGTTTTGGAGCGAAGGGTTCTTTGCTTTTGGCTCTGAATTTTTCATGACCCAAAAGCAAACGTAGTACAAGATCATCATATTAGTACCAGTGGCAGCTTTATGTCACCAGATCTTTCAACGTTTGCCTGAATAATTATTGTGCACCTTTTGTACAAATAATTTGTATGAGTTAAGTGAAATAAAAAAGGCTTTCCGTTTCAAACTAGTAACTTGTCAACTAGTACTGCCGTTGAATGCGTGCAAAATTCAGTAAGCTCGACTTTGTTAACATTTTTGTTTCAGACATACATTTGCTGGTTTTTGCAATCCATGGGCTGCTATCTTCTAGCTAATCCTATTTGGTCGTCTATATTAGAATCAAAGATTCATGATTTCATATAAAATTTATTTTTTAAAAAATATATACGTCGAGACATGTTTGTTGTTGACATGCTTTCAAGTGTATTATGCTATATTTGTTAAATCAAGTGGGACCAAGGTCTGGAACTATTTCTTGAATGAACTTCAGAATCCCCATCATCATTCAGTTGGGGTATCCTTGTCAGTTATTCTGCATACAAGCTTGGATGTATTAGACAACTCCGTACAAGTATAACCCGAGTTGGCAAGAAGCGAAATAGCATATGATGCAGGAAATCCTTTTTTGAAAAAGACATATGTAGTTGGCACTGACTACAATTTGAAACCTTTTGGTATATGTGAGAGTGACAGACCAATATGTACTTGATAAAGAGTTCCAAGATTTAGCACTTATATAGGCTACACTGGTTATAATTGTACATAGTGATGCAGCATTATTACCCATTAGGATGTATCATTTCAGAGATTAGTTCCCAACAACAAGCTTGCCATTCTTCAAATTTAAGAAGGTAATACCACATGTAGCTGGGCAATATAATGAAAGCTAACAGATCCAGTGTCTGGTCTTTGTTGAAATTAGTTACTTGCCTTCTAGGCATCAGCAACACTAGTCCTTTTGGCAGACGTAACGAATTCATGTGCCAGAGCTTTTTCTGTACTAGCATGAAGTTTTTAGAATGTTGCACTGACTGACCCATTATATTCTTCATTCATTTGTCACCTATGAAATCCTAATCAGCTACTTGGGTATTGCAAATTTAAAGTCTAATGTCTTTTTATAAATAGTGTAATAGGTATTTTTTTGAGAAAGTGTTGGAAGAATTTGTTTGAGTTATTGCATGTTTTCATCTATTATCTGCATAAATAATTAAATAAATTATTTGTTATTTGAACAATCACTGGAAGAATTTGTCTTATTAAAAAAAGTTCTAGAAGGCATTAGCTTGACATTTTTCAACTTTGCCTCCTTTGTATGGTTTCTCAACATCAAGCTAAAGCAAACATTTTCTTTTTTCTTCAGAAATCATATGAGACCAAACAGTATAAAAAGGGACTAAAGTCTGCAGATTCTATCTTGAAGAAGTTTCCTGAACATGGAGGTAGGTTTGTGAGAGGTCTCAGTGCCTTGCCTCTTTTCTGTATTCTCACTAACTTGTTTTAGTATGATTGTTGGCTGATGTCATGTTTCTACTGCCGCTAGAAACCTTGTCCATGAAGGGATTAACATTGAATTGCATGGACCGGAAATCAGAAGCATATGATCTTGTTCGTCGTGGTCTTAAGGTTAGCCAGTAATTTGCACAAAAAGAAAAAAAAAAAGTTGCTTTCTACTTTATATAAACTTTGTGTTGTGCTGATTTCTACCTTTTGCAGAATGACCTTAAAAGTCATGTGTGCTGGCATGTTTATGGTCTACTCTATCGGTCAGACAGAGAATATAGAGAAGCAATTAAGTGCTACAGAAATGCTTTGAAGATTGATCCTGATAATATTGAAATTTTGCGTGATTTATCATTGTTACAGGTTGGTATGGAAGTGCCAACTCTCTGTTGAAATTACTTTTAGATTTTTTTTAAAAATGAAATTAAAGTTGTCTTCTGCTTTTTGCTACTGAATGTGGTTGGCTGTGGTGAAATTTACGGGTGTATAGATCTTAGAACTCAGAGGCATTGGTCATGCTTTTCAGTTATTCGGTCCTTTGATCCTGTTGTGGGTCATTATGTTGTCTGATGATTTGAATCATCTTTAGCCTGGTACAGTTGATGAAAAAACAAGAAGCTATGATTCCAATCATTTGGGATTGGCACTCAAGTAGAACTACTTTTTTTCCTCCTTGATTAAGATTTTGGTGGTAATATCATTTTTAACTAAGAACCATCAAAAGCTTCCCTTTTTGGTTTAATAAGTGTTTCTAGGAGTCCTTGTACCACTAATCTTAATTTAGTTCCATCATCTAACTGATACATTTGCATGCCACAAGTTCTTCATTGTACCCTTAATCGGAATTATCCCTAATTTTTCAAGAATGCAAAGCATTTCTTATCCAAAATATAGGGTGCAGATTAAAATGTATATACAAGTAATTTTAGGTGTAGACTCAATTGAGCACAGATGTCTTAATGCTAAGTCAAGGTTTCATTGAGGTTTGAGCATTACTTGCAGTTCAATCATCAAGGAAGTTTGTCGAGAAAACTGGATAGTGAAAATGTTGTGAGTGGCTAAATTGTTTTGTCAGAACTATAAAGACCATTTTTCAACATTACATCATTAAGAATCAGCATTTTGGACGCTGATACAAGACACATATTGTCAAATGATATTTTCTTTACAAGTTTTAAAGTTGTAGTTCTGCACAAACTTGGTAATTGATGCTGAAGCATGTTGGTTCCGTAAGAATGGATCAGTAAGGCCAGCAATGAAGTCTTACACAAAGCCATATTTATTGCACCATTAATTCTTTCTCAATTTTCATCCATTAAATCTTGAGGACATGATTCAAGATTGATGTTGGAGATTGCAAATTTCATGGAGATTTAGGATCACCATATTTTTTGTTCTGAAATATTTTAGGTGATTCTATGCTTTCTGGCTATTTTGATTGTTAAAATGGTTTAAAACACAACTGCAAGTAGGCAATGGAAGGAAGTGAACCTGATCTCGACAGTTTGGCAATGGAAGGGATGGTAGATCATCTTAACCTAAGGGACTTATCTTCTGAAGCGCACGTAGAATGTTCTAGAGATGGATAATAGCAGCAACAATAGCTACTCCAACCAGGTTGTGGTTGGGCATGCAGGTGGAGGGAGTGAGATCTAAGTCTATAGAGGGGAAGGCAAGGTAGAGAAGGCTGAAAAGGGTCTGGAGTTCCTTTCCTTTTCTGTTATTAGGTGATGTTAACAGCAACGGCTTGACATTATCAAAACCTATACATAAATATTTCTGGTCATGATTGTTACATAAGAATCTGTTTATGAATAATGCGTGATTTGTCATTTATACCATCACATAAAAAATTTTAGTTCAAGAAATGTTTGGGTGCCTTTTTAAATTTCATGGGTACTTGATGCCCAGAACTGATCATCCTCTGTTGGTTTGTACTGATTGTTTGGTGGTTTCAGTTTGTTAATTAAGAAGAGAGCTTTCCATGTTTTAATTTTCATGTTAATGTGAATTAAGCTTAAATTGTTGTGTTTTTGTAATGTTTTTACTTATGTTTTGTTATTTCTTAAAAATGTTGTTTTGTCTTTTTCTTTTCATGTTGCTTGGATTCTCTTGGCTAATTGATGTCATAAATGTTTTATTCAAGTTTAACTAAAATTTGTGTATGAAACAGTAATACATGCTTTTTTGCAGGTACAGATGCGGGACCTGATAGGGTTTGTTGAAACGAGACAGCAACTTCTGGCATTGAAGCCAAACCACCGGATGAACTGGATTGGCTTTGCTGTTGCTCACCACTTGAATTCCAAGTAAGTTTTATTTCATTCGGAAAATTATTCTAATAATTCACGAATGCCCATCGATTTTTTTACTATAAATATATCAATAAAATTTCACAAAAATTGGAAGTCTTCTGTTTCATAGGATAGTAAATTACATTTAAACACATTTGTCCCTTCTATTTGGAATTTGGTGAGAGAACTATATTCTTTGGTAGTTTGGTTCAATCAGAACATAATATGTTAACCTTTTCTAGGAATTGATGGTTAGGATAGCATTTTAATATGGATGATACGCGTATGATCTAATATCCATTGCATGGTACAGAATCATGGAGATTGATATTCATAGCAGTACTATATGGAGAATACACAAATTCCCTGATATACATTGCATGATACGGAAGCACTGAGATCAATATTAAAGCATTATTATAAAAATGGCACTGGAGAACCAACGAACATCTGCAATTAAATGAGAAACTTGACCATATTGATGGGATATTGTCTCCATGCTCATCTTTGAATTTTGCATGATAGGTTTTCGGCTAGTTATTTTGATTGCATTGCTGCTGGTAAATTCAAATTTCTAAACTTAATGAGATATTAAGGTTCCGGTTTTTGGTACTTCCATAAAACCACACAACGGCTTACTTCTTGTGATGTCCTTTATCATTGGGGGAACCAGCATGACGATGACAGGTCATTCAAATTCCATGTTTGTGTGCAAGCTAGCTCCAAAAGGACTTGTAAAGGAATGTTTGTTCTAAGCTAGCAAAATTATAATGTAACATAGGTGGATAAATTGTTGGAAGTTGATATTAGTAATTTTGATACTTAATAATCTCTAATAAGTTCTCTTAGTATTAAAACATAATCTTTTTGTTACTTATCCTTGATTTCTGTATCTGATAGTGCTTCAAAGGCAATTGATATTCTAGAAGCTTATGAAGGAACACTAGAAGATGATTATCCTCCAGAGAGTGAGCGTTATGAACATGGTGAAATGCTCTTGTATAAGGTATACATAATGTTTATAAATGTAACTTCAAGCCATTAGTGTATTTTTTCTTTTTTTTGTTAATTATATTTTTAGAACTAATTATTCTTCCTCTCCAATTTTATGTAGTAACCAAGATTGTAATAACTAGGCTGGTTGTCTCACGTGTCACTATGTGAAGAGTTTGGTTTGGTAATTCTTTTGCATGGGAGGATTTGCAATTATGATCCCCATGCACCGAAAGTTGCCTTCAAAATTTTAGACCAATGATTTAATGAAGTTTCCGTGTTACAATTTTCAAGCTAAAGTAACATTGTGTTGATGGTGATTATGTTACACTATGACATCCTATGGTGATTATAAATGTTTTCCCAGTATTTTTACTCCATACTTTGGTATGTTATAGCTTATTTTTCTTTCTTTGTATGACTAATCAACCTGCTTGATCAGTGCCAAATGGTGGCTCCTACCATTTGTAAGAGTAATTTTTCATGGGAACATATAAAGTGTGTAAAGTATATATATCTTTAAGAGCGGACATTAATTAGTACTGCTTTATGGAACTTGTAGTTTATTTGAAAGATGTATGGTCAAAGGGAACCTTGACGCCTATGGTCACGTGCTAATTGTAAAGCATCTTTATTTTGTGCTATAATGTTTAGACAGAAGGCTTTGTTCTATCCTGTGAATTATCAGCGGATGAAGTAATACAATTTATGTTGGGTCCTTTTTTTTCTTTCACCATTCATAATTCTTTTGTACTATAATGGATCGGCTTTGTTGGTGAGCATGAGGAAATTTATACAACAGGCATATTTTACAGATTTCATTGTTGGAGGAATGTGGGTTATTTGACAGAGCACTGGAGGAAATGCATAAGAAGGAGGCTAAAATTGTAAGTTTTCACTGTGGCTGATGCAGTTTAGGTTCATGATCGATAGTCTTAGTTGGACAAATCATAGATGGAAAAGTTGGCATATTTTACTTGAAGGCCTTAATAGTCAATATCAGACACCATTTTGGTGCATTAGATCATCTTTTACAGCATATCTGTTACCTGTATGCTTAATGTCTCATCAGGTGGATAAGTTGGCTTTCAAGGAAGAAATGGCTTCTATAGTCTTGAAGCTTGGTCGTTTTGAGGAAGCAGAGAAAATGTACAGGTTCCTGCTTGTTATGAATCCTGATAATTACAGGTAAGTAGTTTGATAATATTCCACTTCATATAAATATGCATTTTTTTTATCGTGTATATGTGAATTCAAGGTTCAAAATTGTGTACTAGTAATGCACCAGTCAGGACTCGAATCAGTACTTTATCATCTTGTACGGGTGTATTGAGTGTCGGTATGTCGGTATGTACCAAGTTTTAAAAAAATCTGAAAAAAACAAAATAACAAACTGACTGATACCAGACCTGTACAGATGGTACAGGCTCTGTTTTATGTGTACCAGATGGTATAGGCCCTATACCAGACAGTACAGCCTTGTATGCCCCTATACCAGATTGTATAAGCTCCATACCAGACAGTACAGGCCTTGCATGCTCCTCTACTGACAGAGCAGGCCCTGTACTGGGTGTATCAGATGCTATAGGCCCTATATCGGACAATACAGCCCCTGTATGGTCCTGTACCAGACATACCACCCAGTTTATCTTGATCTGCATATCAGTAGGTTTACCTTTTTAATTCCCACTATCCTCTTTCTCATTGCTTTTTGTTGTATTTTCATCTCTTTCTCGGTTCCTATTCATTCTTTTAACTGGTCACATCAGTTGATCAAGAATAATTTTGATCAAGATAGTTGGTTCTTCTAAATAAATATTTATCTCGCTTTAAACTGACTGATACCCATTGGAAATGGCTATACCAATAAAATTTATTCTTTGGTGGACAACTGGTTTGACTGACATTAACTAATTTTAGCAAATCTTTAGAAGGTTTTGAGTTCTGAAGTCTCCATAGTCGAGAAGTCTGGAATCAGGGTCAGCCCTTGCCAATACTCTTCCAGCTGCTTGTTCAGCCATCCCTAAAATTTATGCAAATGATATAACATTATGCACATTTGGGTAGCATTTATACTCTGTTGATGTGCTCTTTGAAATAGTCACCACAGATATATTGTCCTTGATAAAATCTTGTCTATGGATAACTATTTGAAACCATGGCTATATATCTTGTTGGACTCTACTTCTAAACAAAAAATATTTAATCGCCGAGCGACTTCCATTTGTAAATATATAAATCTTGGTCATGATTATCTATTTTTATTACCAAAGCTAGCTATATTGGACTAATATCTGCATCGAGAATAAAATTACTCTCTCAAAATGGGGTGAGATGATTAACAAGACAATCCTGTTGCTTAGACAGAAGTATTGGAATTTCCATAAGCATTTTGCAGTCATTTCGCTAGGGGTAGCAATGAATTTACAGTTCTTTGTTCTAAACTTACTCAATGTGGTTGATTGCTATATTTCGTGTTTTCTGTTTCTTGGCCATTTTCTTTCTTGCCTGATAAGGTGTCTTTTTCTCTCTTTCTTCCTTGAATTGAAAAAGAAAAAGGGTGCGGGGGATGACTGGGTGGAGGGGGGGATCTTTATCGATTAACTTCGTTCATTGTTGTGCATCAAGAGTTGTTTCATATGCAGTTTAATTTTAAATGTCTTTGGCTTTTTGGTTATGTTTTATCCCTTTCTTAATACAAACTGTCAACACATTTTGGAGGATTTGAACTTTGTTCATTATTGTTGCTTACTTTTGAACAGGTACTTTATTGGCCTGCAAAAATGTCTTGGACTATATTCTGATAAAGGTGAATATACGTCTGATGAAATTGAAAGATTAGATGCCTTGTATATGTCACTTAGGGATCAATACAGTTGGTCTTCTGCTGTCAAGGTAAGATAAAACTTCGTTCGTTGCTCGACCATGATGCTGCTCTATGTTCTGTTATTCTTTCCAGTTACACTGCTATAATTATTGGTAGGAATGAGAAAGATCTAGCCTTTCTCTTGTTGCAAGAAATTAGCAACATGGCTGTTAGAATGTATTGGTTCTTTTGAAACAAATTGAATGTTGATTGCGCATAGATATACTCTACAATAAAACCTTTTTCTTCTTGATTGTGTTAATGCCATCATGCTCTATTTGCTGATTAGTTATGCAAGCTTCTTAATCTTTATGAAAAAATATATTTTAATTGTATTATTTATTGCTGTGTCATCTTTTTGGCTCAGCGAATACCACTTGATTTTCTAGAAGGGGACAAGTTTCAGGAAGCCGTGGATAACTATGTCAGGCCTTTATTAACTAAGGTGGGAAGAACTCTGTTACCATATAATTTGTTGTGGATCTTGTGCTATAACATATTCTGTTCCGTTATGGGTCATGTTGTCTCTTATTTTTTTTGTACTTTTTTTATTATTATCTTCAAATTAGGTATATAATGGATAACCATAGCTAACATTTGTCACCTATATTCATTAGGGTGTCCCCTCATTGTTCTCTGATCTTAGTCCGTTGTATGACCACATCGGAAAGGTATGCAGAATCACTTCAAATATGATTATGCAATTTTTTTCCTCCCAAATTCTGTATTTTTTTAAGTCAAAAGTTGACATGATCATTGAGTAGTTGAATCCCTTTTGCAGGCATCTATTCTTGAACAATTATTTCTTCACTTGGAAGACTCAATTAGGTCAACAGGAAGCTTTCCTGGAAGGTAAAATTGAGACCAAATTTTTTCTCCCTTTATATTTTGCATATTTGTGAATTATGTTAATTATAATGTGGGAAAAATAGTAGAGCACACTGTATTGGTGTAACATTTGTACAATTTATCAAGCAAAGGGCGTTGACACTTTTATCTGCTTGTATTTATATTTTTTTTCTCTAGGTGAAAATGTATGACTGAAAACAATTTTCTCCAGAGCACTTACTGGATGTGTGTGTGTGTGTGTATGTGTATGTTTATGTATATCTATATGTATATGTATATCTATATATATATATATATATATACATACATATATATATTTATATAGTATTGACAGTATGTTTCAGTGATTTGAATCTTATCAATTATTGAAGATTATATCAAAAAGTGGGTTTAACTAGCTATGGTGTAAAGGAGCTGGCTGGTTCAACTCGGGACAACTTGGGAATTGGCATTAGATTCATTTTGTCATTTCAAACTTTAATTCTTGCATACGCAGACCCTTTTGAGACTTCTTAATACATAATGTAAAAAGTAACAAGATAAAGGTTTTGACAAAAAATGTAAACCACTTTGCATCAAATTGAAATGACTGGGCACATGCACATGATTATGAGGTTTTGACATCATATTATCTTCTTCATTTAACAGTTATATTCCCTTTCGGAGGTTATAGAGATGTGAATCAACTAAAGGCGCAAATTTTGCAATGCATTTTGTTAGACCATCTCATTGTAGAAACTAGATGGTGAGGAGCCTTATTTGAGTGACTCATTCATATGGAAGTAGAGCACTATCATCAGTTGATGGCGTCTTTTTTCATATATACTGAATATTGCATTGGCTTTTCGACCTTTGAAATCATCACTTTTCAGCCAACTAGAAGCATGTGTCTTCCAAACAATGGTCTGTACCTTCAAAATGGCTGCTAAACTTTCTGTTTAACATGCATGCTTTTGATGTAAAGTGCTTCTTGATAACAACATTTGTGAATCCTGTTTCTAAGGATTTAAAAAAATTTCAGTTCAAAAAAGGAGCCTCCTTCGACACTCATGTGGACATTGTTTTTGCTATCCCAGGTTTGTATTTGGTGTATCTTTTTATGAATTTAGAATTATTTTGTGTTATATATGCCAAGATTTTTGCTTCTGTTGTGGTGCAGCACTATGACAGACTAGGCCAGTATGATCTTGCTCTAGCTAAAATTGATGAAGCTATCGAACACACTCCAACAGTGATTGATTTGTACTCCATTAAGGTTCGTGTCATAAGTCAATGATATTAAACTTGGGGACCTAGTATTTGATTGTTACTTGTATTTCTATTTTAGCAGTGTGAAGTTTGTCATATGCAAAATCTTAATTGGTTATGTTTGTTTTGATTTCTGAAGATACAAAAACTGTTCGGTAGAAGTTAAAAGTTAAAACCCTTCCATATTTTATGTCCTGCTTATTTCTTGTATAATAAAGGAGGGTGGCAATTTATTTTGTTCAGAAAATTATGATGCACTTTTCTAAATTTCTGTTATTAATCATTGAAATCAAGATTTTCTTGAGTTTCAAGCTTTATATCTTCAGAGTTAAAGGTTATAATTATACATGATAATATATAACCCTGTTCCTCAAATGCAGGTGCAGATCTATGTTTTCTAAATACAATTTGATAATATGATTTTTCATGGTGTCAAGTTAAAAAAATTAAACATTAGATATAACACGTAGCAAATAAGAATTACAACTAGGAACCCATGAATCTATTATTACAGTTGTTAACTGACTAGATGATGATGAATTCTGAACAGTAGAAATGAGAAAAGTGCAAAATGATTATTGATTGGCACCTTAACTATAGAGTCTTCTCTAGATGTCATGTAAGATATGCCTTTATGAAAACACTTGGTATCTGCAACAAATGTAAAATCTATCAAAAGCTTGTGCATATCAGATTGTTTTTGATTAAATTTTGAGAGCAAAAGTCTTGAACGCTAGAACCCTGTCTCTAAGATTAGCACATCCCCATCTTAGTTTTCCAGATTGTTAACCAGGGTACCAGTGGACCTGGCTGAAAACCTTCATAATTTTGAGTATTGACAACGTAATTTACGCGCACCTTCTACTTGATTGGTTAGCCATGATGATGCTGGAAACAGTGTTGGATGAAGACTTCATAATTTGGCCCTGTACGAAGAAAGATGGTCTGGAAGTGGTTTTATGAGGAAATTTTTATGATTCTCCAAGTCCAGATGTAGTTATAATGGAAGACATTTCAGAAGGCAACAACAACAACAATAAAGCCATAAAGTCCTAACATCTTGGGGTGGCAAAAGTTAGAAAACTTGCATGAAAGGTGGTCTACATGTATAGTTTGTTAAGACCTGCCCATGTGAGGACAGCATTTTTAGGATGCAGTATCATGGGGCGATTAAAGTTTCTTCTCAGCGAGATGTGATCAGACCTTATCAGGAAAGGGGTCTCATTTTGATGTCTGCAGTGTTCACACCAGTATCTGTGCTTGTTAGGAAATGGAGATCAATATGGCACAATTGGACCATGTAAGACTCCTACCAAGCTACTTCATGCGTCTTGAAGCCTCTGACTTCATTTGTTCTAGTAGTATGGGACACACAGTAATCTGTGTTAGGGTGATATTTATTTTGACATCAGATATTTATTTTGGCTGAGGCTTCATGTTATGATTAATATTTGAGCATCTTAAATTTCTTTGAGAAGTGCCCTCCAGATCGACAATTGTTCTTGTTGTTAATTCTAAGCAAACCTCTGTAATCAGTGGACTGAATTCCTTTGTTAAAATTTTGAAATAATAAATTGTCATGTATTCATTTACGGTAGTAACATACTCTCTGCTGATACAGGGCAGAATATTAGAACATGCAGGTGATTTGCCTGCTGCTGCCGCCTTGGCAGATGAAGCTAGGTCAATGGATCTTGCTGATCGTTACTTAAATAGTGAGTGTGTTATGCGTATGCTTCAAGCTGATCAGGTATTACTGTCAAAAATGGATGTTCAATGTCCCGAATGATATTCTTGTTTGGATCAATTTTTGCTTTTGCACATGGAAATAATATTTTTTATGCATTGATTGATGAAGGTTGGATTAGCAGAGAAGACAGCTGTTTTGTTCACCAAGGATGGTGATCAGCACAATAATCTTCATGACATGCAGTGCATGTGGTATATATGTTTGAATTTCTTATCTCATGCTTTACTATTTGCTTGAAGAATCTGGCATATGTACTGGCACCTTTTTTTTTCACTCTGTGTGTGTGTCTTGTGTAAGGTATGAACTTGCTTCTGGTGAAAGTTACTTTCGTCAAGGTGATCTGGGACATGCACTCAAAAATTTCTTAGCTGTTGAGAAGCATTATTCAGACATGACAGAGGATCAATTTGACTTCCATTCTTACTGTCTGCGTAAAATGACTCTACGAGCTTATGTATCGATGCTGAAGTTTCAAAACCAGTTGCATTCACATGAGTATTTCCATAAAGCTGCAGCAGGTGCTATAAGGTGAAGTTTCCATTTTGATATGTTCAGATGTTTATTTGACAAGGTTCTTCATTGCAGTGTGTTTTTTAACAGTTTGACTTGTTCAAGTGTTACCGTATTATTTTTAAATATACTTCACACCTTATTAGTTAATAGTTACAATCAAAACTTAAACTATGACAAGATAGACAAATTTTTTATCATTTATACCTGATAATTTTTCACCTAATTGAAGAAGTTTGACGATGAAATGAATAATATTTTTCTTCTTGGTACTCTACATCATGATCTGAAAAAACTTTGAAGAAGGATTAATAGCCAGATTTCCATAGAAGCATTTAATTCTTATGTTCTTCATTATTCTCTTCAGCTTAATTATGGGTGCATCATCAACTACTGAAAATTAGTTTTAGTGCATAAAAAGGAAATATAGGTGCTTGTTAACTTATTTTGAAGAAAACAAAATAACATCTTTGACTATCATGCAGAAATTGACCACCAGAACCAGAAAGTATTTGAATTCTAAACTTTTGAGGCCTCAAAAAACTGATCCTCCCATCTGCACTGCTTGATCTGGATGCTGTCAATACTGATGTGGTTTAATAGTCAGCCTTGTTTTAACATTAGCTATAGGTATCGAGATCTTTTCTGACTGTATCGCCCCAGGTCTTAGGGCAAATACATTTGCCGCTTTGGCATGGTATCTTGTCCTTAGTGGTTCCATCAACATAATTGTCTTTTCTTATGCCATAAGCTTTCTGGACTATCAACATGAAACACTTCATCCTTGCCATAACCAGAGTTGGTCCATATTAACATGTTAAGCAAATCATTAGGTATTTGTTTTTGTTTTCTTTTTTGTGTATGTGTGTTGGGGAAGCAGGAGGGAAGAGAGAGAGAGAGAGAGAGAGAGAGG